TGCGGATGGGGCACTAGCCGGTGGTGAGCCATATGTAGCCCATGCACGGGCCTAATACAAGTCACAGAAGCATCCAGGATGCCACAGGGAGGCAGGATTAGGAGCCAGGAGGTGAGGGGGAGGGAGCAGGCACCTGGAGAGCTGTGGCCCAGCCAGCCCGTGGGCCGGGTGGCTGCACAAGGAGCTCAGTCCCTGCGGGTGGTCACAATGCAGGAGGGACACTGGGCCACAGAGAACCTCACACCTGGGCGGGCACAGGTAAGGATCTGTTCTGGAAAAGGTGGAAGTCCAGGGACTCAGATAAGATGGGTCCCGGGCCCCAGGTGGGTCTGCCTGGGTGGGAGTGGGTCCAGCAGCTTCGGAGGTGGGGCAGGGGGCAGGAAGAACACAAAGTCCAGGAACCTTCGGTGATTCTGTAACCAGGATCCGACCTTTCCCGGTAAGGTAATAAAGTCATCATCAGCTGACAGACATGTCCTCCCACCTCAGAGCAAAGGCCAGTTCTGAGCACAGGCAGGAAGTCGGTGAACTTCCTCCTTGAGACCCTCAATTAATATGCATGTGTGCAAACATGCCTGTGTGCCTGTGTGCATGCCTGCGTGTGCCTGCATGTGCCTATGTGTGAGCCTGCATGCATGCATGGGTGTATGTCTGCATGTGCATGCACGTGTGCATGTGTGCGTGCCTGTGTGCGTGTGTCCTACCTTCATCCCACCTGCAGATCCTCAGGGGCCTCAGGCTGGCCCTGGATACTAATGCTGGGGAAGAAAGCAGTCCTCAAACCAACTCCGGGCGGGAGGCTCTCAGGACACCACACGCCTCCAGTCCCGGGGCCCTGACCAGAGCACTTCTGAACCTACTTCCACTCGTGGGATTTCCTTCAACCCAGGAACAGGACAGGTGGGATGAGGGCACTGTTTGTCACTGGCGGCGTGGCCAACAAAACCAAATGCCCTCACCCCACAGGTGGTCACACCTGTGCCTCTAGTCCTCGAGGGGCCGGGAGGGCTGAGGGGTGGATGAACCGCACTTGGGACTCAGCTGCTTTGTGACTCCAGGCTCTGCTGGCCTCAGCGTCCACTGTCGTCACTGTCCTTGTGACGGAGGCTTTATGGCAGAAGGGCTGGGAAATGCCACACCTGGACACCACAGCAGGTTGGCAAGGTAACCCGCCTGCGAAGGCTGACACACTGACACCCTAATTTTGAGAAAGTAGGTTGACTGTGTATCGCAGGTGAAGGGTATCGGCCACCGAACTTATTTCATCCACGGAACCTGAACGTCCTGCCGTGAGCCGCCTACCTGGCCAGACCTGGTGCTTGACGGGATCCGCTGAAATGTGGCTTCCAGGAACTTGGCCAAACCTTCGCTCACAGAAGCAAAGGGGACAGGGCTCTGCGTTTCTGCAGGTGACTCTTCTCCCAACCACACACCCAGACAAATACAAACCAGGGGTCTCAGCAAAGCTTTCGGTGAAAGGACCTCGCAGCTCATGAATGGATCATGAGGCCGGGGGTACAAATGTTGTGGGTGGGAAAGGCCATCTTACGATATTCAGCATTTTCTACTAAGTAACCGGCAAAATGATATATGTATGTAACATAGAAATAATGAAAAATTCTCCCAAGACAGCTGTAATGAAAGTCAGTGCCCCAAAGGGAGTGTTTCCTTCCCCCCAAAGAGATGTAAACCTCTGCCCATTTATCCTACAATCCAACAAGTCACCCAAAACAGTTCATAAATAAATGGCTCTGTAGAAAATACGATTTCACACAATACATAACAAATCTTAACAAGAAGCTTTCCTACACTTTGGGAATAGAGCAGAAAGGTGGTGTTTAGAACTTTCTGGACTGTGGCCACACAGCCAGATGCCAGCAAACACCGCATAGCTAACAACCCACCATCCAGAGGCCAAGAGAACTTTATATTCCTGTTCAAGACACACCGACTCGGATTATGAAACAAAAAGAGCAAAGCCATTTGGGAGGGGCATGAGTGATGGAGGGGGCAGGTTCCCTCCGGACCCCCAGCACACCCGGAGAGAGAGGCAGGCACGCGACCGAGGGCAGGGGCCACAGCCGGAAAGAGAAAGTGACCCATGAAATAATTGCTTTTTTTCCATTCCTCTTTCCTATTTTCTCCAAACATCCCACAGTCCCAAGTAGTTTAATAAAAGAAAAAAATTAAAATCAGCTCTGTAAAACGATGCTGCTGGAACAGCTGGGATCAGAGACAGCTAATTCCATGTTAATTAGTCCCCACTTCTCACCCACCCATATCCCCCAGTGGCTTAAAATGGGCTCTCTCACTGTCCCCTCATTGGTCCTGCAGCTGATGACTCCCGACTCAGCAGAGGAGCCCCCTTCCCCAGTGGGGTCTAACCTGCGGCTGGCAGCCCCTGCTGGCACCCAAGCAGGCACCGGCTCTCCCTAGGAAGGACCCACCCCATCCAGCTCCTGAGCTCACCCAATCCTACTTTCCACCTTATTTCATCCATTGAACCTGAACGTCCTGCCTGTGAGCCCAAAGGTCACATTCATGATCCCCCTCCATGAATCCCAGCTGGGCCAGTGGGACAGGCAGGGGGAGCCTGGACGCCGGAGGGCTACCTGCTCCGAACCCCCAGCCACTGGCCCTGCGGGACTGGCTGCCCGCGTTCCTGCCCGGGTCTGAGAGAAGACCCCGCCACAGCGCCAGCCCCGCCCTCGGGCTCAGCAAGGAGTTCCCTGGAATTGCAAGGGGGCGACTCTTCCCGCGCGGGCCGGTCCCCCTTTGCCTCCTTCGGGGTGGGGGTCGCACTCACTGGAAGTCCTGGGGTGCATCTTCCAGGTGCTGCTCCGTGCCCTCCCGGCTGCGGAGGACAGCTGCCGGGCGACTGGGGAATTCCTGCCAGTGCCAGGGCCAGGGCTGAGGGCCAGGGAACACGCCCTGGGACAGGTGGCCGGGAGGGCGGGCAAAATGCAGACACCGGGCCAGGGGGTGCAGACCTGGGAAGCGGGGCAGCTGTCTGGCGGGAGCGCGCAGAGCCAGGGCGCTCCCAACCCCCAGGACCCTGCTCTCAGCCCC